GTCGAAAGTACTACTTCTTCTAAAGACTTTTCTTATGTTAATATATCTTATCTAGTTTCTAATTTGTGATGTTATGTTTAGACTACTGTACTTAACTTGTTAAACATTCAGTAATGGAAACTATCTTTCATATAAAATTCATACAAAATACAAATAAAAATTTGCTTTAGAGCTTAGGTAATTCTAAGTAAAAATAAAATAGGACTTTATTAAGAAGTTGTACACATAAATGCAATATATAAAAACATATACCTATTATATTAAATTAATATATGTAATTAATTGTTAAAAAATTTGTGTATAATATATTATAATTTTGTTGAGTGTAATTCGAATTTAAGTTTATAAAGAATTACATTAAAAGTCATAATTGAAAAATAAATTGTAGAAATGTTCTCTTCAATTAAAAACTTTTGTTTTTATTAAAACTTTAAGGAAAGTTTCATATTAAAATATTACTTTAGTCTTCTTTACATAATAGATTAACTTATTTTCTTCCATAAAACAAAGGTAACCATTTAAAGGAATGCTTTCCTTGGAAAATGTTTCAGCTCTCTGGAAACTATTCTGCAACTGAGCGTTATTCTTAGTACCTATAAACATTGTAAAAAGAAAATTTTTACCTTACAAACTCAAATACAATTTACAATTCAAATATTTTGACTGTCGCTCTTTGATAAACGATTTTTTATTTATATTTTTCAGTAACTCTATTTGTCTTGAAAAAAGAGAAAAAGTTGCAATAAAAATGATTTCACAAAATTTCTTATAAATTTGCAAAGTTTCATTGAAAAGTAAATTCCAGCTGCAGAAAAGTGCAAAGAAAGTTTGAGAATTGCTTATTTTAAGATGCTGGCGTTATAAGAGTTAAATCGTGCGATTTAATATCGAAAACAAAAAATATATATAATGAAAAACTATAAATTATTTAATACTTTTTAAATATTGTTTGAAAACAACTTTCAAGATGTGTTGTTCTTAACTTACTCTTATTTTTTTAAAGTGCATTATTTTAAATATTTTTAGGTTCTACTAAATTTAACAATGGATGGCAGATTTTTATATAAATACAAATAGAAAAAAAATGCTAGATTTCTTGTTCACGCTCCTCTCCAACAGTGACCAGGGAGGACTGTGGTACATTTCACAGTATTCACGTAATTAAATTTAATGAGATCCCAAGCTTCTGCCAAGTTGACAAGAAAGTTATACTTACTTAAATAATTAGTAGGCCATTACAGACGTGAGTCGTCCTTGGCTGCGTCGTGTATCATCCGGCAGCCACCCCGACCCGAGAGCACTTGTTGTTCCATATGTTGTTTTTAAAATAAGCAGTTGTTCTTTTGTAATATGCTTACAAAAGAATAGGCCTAATGCCGACTGTTTAGATGGGAAATAACAGGCGACGACAAAAAAGTTTGACAAAAAAGTTTGACAAAAAAGTTTGACAAAAAATGCAGATGTTAATTCTCTTTTGTTGCTTTATATGTTTTATTATTTCTTTTATATATAATACATATACAAATCTCGATATTTTTAAAACAAATGAACTTACTTCATATGTAGAAATTAGAATTCTGAATGTTCTAAATTACTTCGAAGCATATATAAAATAATTACTTTTCTGTAATAATTCTTCCATTCAAATAATTTTCTTCCTTTTCAATGAAATCAAATTATTTTGGTTATATCCGAAAATATGATGAATAATTCCAATCGCATGAGCATTACTAAAATTGCGCTATTTTTATTGCCTTTACGTGTAGTAAAAAAAAAAATAATTCATAAAAAATAATATAAAAAAACAAAGTCAAGAGAAAGAAAATACCAACACCAAAAAACCAATTTAAATCGTCTGCAAACGTACATGACGTGCTTTTATTTATTGCTGGATTTTTTATGCAAATTTAATATTATTTTAATTTCCATAATAAACACCGAGTGATCAAATTTATTGCTATCATTTGCTGTCATATCCTGTGGCTTTCAGCTATGATTGACACTTGGAGCGAAAAGTTTATAACGAAACACATAAACGCCACAAAATGTCAACGTAATTTAATCCTTCGAATGCGAGGATGACAGTAATTTTACCGAAAATACGAAACGAATATTGTGTGTGCACAAGGAACGGTGTGGGTACAGCGTGGGTATGGCATGGGTATGATGTGGCTTGTTGATAGAATTTACTGGTCGGATCGAAGTACAAACATAAATAAATAAAAAACAATTTGGACGCACTATAAGTCGAAAAACTATAATGAAGAAATAAAATAGCTCAATGTCACAGCATGAAAACGATAACTGTGCGTAATGTGTACTCGTATTCAAACCATTAAGGACATTTGGCAATGAATGCGTGTATGCGTGCATGCGTAAGTGCGTAAGTGCGTTTGCTTAAGCGTTTATACGTGAGGTAAGAATTTTCCACTATTTACTGCCATTAAATTGATATTAAGTTTCAGAGTGAAAATAAAAGCTAACAAAACTAAATTACTGAAATAGGAAGCAACATTTATAATTGGAAAGATTTAAAAATACATTAAAATAGTTAAGGTGCTGTCATTGAGGGTCTCACAAAAACAAAAAAAAAATAAACACAAAAAAAAAAAAGTAAACCTTAACCCAGCACTCAACACTCGATAAAACGCAGCAATTTAGTTACCAACTCACAAGCGAGTATCTACTCGTATCTACAACTTACACGCAGTTAAGCATTTGGCTTAATAAACAATGACACTGCGTAAGTGTGCTGGTTGGGGTTTGGTGCATAGTTGGATGATGATAATAATGATGACGCTATTGGCCACGGTCATGGTAGTTGTCATACACTGAGCAATCATGAAAATGCCTTTGAGCTCAGCTGTTGTTTTCGGCATTGGTGCTAATGGCTTTAGCGGTGACTGCGGTAATGGCTGTAACGACGATAATACCACCGATAATGATAACATTCGCAACTATGGCAAGGGACAGCCAAAGTACTAGGTTAATATGCTTCTGTTGTAGCACGTAACGAGTATGCGCCTAAAAGCATTATTGCTCTATTTGCATGCACGCAACACTCTGGTTCTGCTCTGCATTGCTCCTTTTGTGCAAGTGACGGGATAACATTCACGTCTACACTTTTGTATCTTTTACTTGTATCTGTGCCACGAGTATTTATTTTAAACAACAAATAGCAGTTAAATGAACTTGCGGCAAATCATAACAAACCTAAAGAAAAAGATATTCCCATTTTATTTTTTACTTTTTCTGAAAATGTCACAATTTTGAGTTTTCTTCGCTTCGCAAATGCTTAAAATAATTTGATGAACACGTGCGCTCACTTGTGTGGAAAATGTTGACACAACATCAACAAAGAAAATGTTGAGTAGAAAGTTTTGATATCATCAAATTTGATGGCATTTTGTTTCGAGATTTAATTTAAAATAGTTTAAAAACTTCTTCGAAGCTGCGTATACTTATTACCATTCTTGTATCTTATATACCTACATCTGCGTATGTGAAGAGGTTGCATATTGAAATGACAACTTGACATTTGACATCAAAAAAAATTATATTTTGAAATTAACTAAACTCACGTAGCCTAAAGAAATACATTTTTAAATACAGCGAACAATAAATATATATCATTCTTTAATGAAATAAAATAAACGTAATTGAATTTCTAATTTACTAAGAATAAAAGAAGTTCGTTTGAGCTTGATGAAAATTAAGCTTATTCTATACTTTTTTGATAATTTAGTAGTAGTAATAATAGTACAAGGTTAAGTATTTAATTTTTAAATTTTTTGTATAACAAAACAATTTATAAATTGCTATAATTATATACATAAAGCTCACAGTCTTGGCAGTCCGCAGTCCGCCGCTATTGGCAATATATTCTATATTAAAACCTGGGTCAATTACATACTTAGATATTAAATGAATTGAGTTCACACATTCCATTTACAAATAAATATAAAGCAAGTTAATATATAAATATGCACAAGATTAGATAAATGGAAATAATGACTTCACTTATGGAGGCTTCAGGAACTTAGGTTTGTCAACAACGTCGAAACAAACGATGTAACTCTAAGAAATAAAAATAATGACAGTGAAGTGAAGTTCATATCAATGAACATGCATTATCTGAACTTATCTAGAGCACAAGTTTGTAGTTATTTTACGTGGATAGCAATTATGCTTCAAAATAATGCAGGTTGATGCACAATAGATTTAAATTGCAATAGATTAAGCAGATTTAAGTCGAATGTAGGTCATCCAGTTAATAAAAACCAACAAACCAACGAGTAACGATCTTATAATAATAAAGCTGCTTTAATATCTGAGCCCTAAAGAACTAGCAAGCATATTTCCACTTTTTTAAAAAGATAATATTGGATAAGAATATATTGGGATACTTAACGTACTTTCTGATATATATCAAGCTTTTACAGGCTTACAAATAATTTTATTTACAAACCTTGCATAGTTTATATAGCTTATTGTGTCGCTTTTCTCAATCTTATCATAAAAGACACTAATTTTTTCTCAATTATATCCATTATATCTTTCATATTGTCATATTAACTCTTCTATTAAGGTCATTGCTAGGGCACAATCCATAAATAGATTCATGCTAAATTTTATTCGTGTAAATTTGAGAAAAGTAAATGATCATTTCTAAAATATGTTCGGTCTGAATAAATTGTTGAGCTTCTTATGTACATTCTTTTACTGAATTTTTAAATAAAACAACATATTTATGATTTTTTGTAATGATCATATAATTTAATAATGCAAGAACTTAAAAACTTTTTATTTACAACTCATCCATTTTATGTTTTTCACAATTGTTATCGCTGGTGAACAACTGATCGACTTAATTACTCGTCAAGCCACAAGCACATGCGTGCTTACGATTTTATACTCGTGTATGGGCCGCTTCAAACTTTTCATGCGAAAAGTGTCAAATTATCTTGAATTTACTTCATTCGTATTGTTAGCCATTTTAGTTTGGAAGTGTTTTGTTAGCGGCTCAGTTAGATTTTGTGTAAGCTTGCATTTCTAATAGAATTCGCAAAACAATGCCTACAGTAATTGCCTTAGATACATCGCTTTCGATGCAATCTTGTATAACTGATGGAAGTGGATTAACATATCACCAATTGGCATCTGATGCCATAAGGCAGTTGTTAAAGTATTTAACGCGTAACTCTAAACTGGAACAAGTTTGTTTGGTTTGTTTTTCTCTAACTGCGGAGTTGAAAGTCGACTTCACTCGTGATTATAAACTAATACGCAAGGCAGTTAAAAACGTTGAAATATCAACAAAGTCTAATGTGTTGGGTTTGCTACAATTTGTTGGACCCCTAATTAGTAAAACTTGGAGTTTGGATAGCTACTGTCATGTTGTTTTGTTTACTGATTGCCCTATTGGCTTTCGAGACAATTTGTTACAAAGTTATGCAGAACTTAAGAGCAAAACTGGTGATAAGGATCCTTGGTTGAAATTGTTTGAAAAAACTAAAATTAATTTAGTTGGTTTGAGTCTTAACAAAAAGTATAACAAAAAATTTTTGCAAGTGTTAAAGCTCTACAATTACTTTTTTGAGTCTTGCGGTTTAAAATGTAAATATGCTTAATTTATTATATAAAACGAGTGTATTCAATAGTATTTATTTCTTATAGATAAAATATTTACTCCAATATATATCAAAGATAAAGATAAGAATTATGCAAGTGATCATAAAAGACGTCGCATCAATACTAAACTTTCTGGATCAAATTCATTGCAAGCAGATAAGATGAATGAGCAAATTCGTTCTTCAATGTGGAAAATGGTACACGATCTTTGTGTGACCAATTACAAACCAATGGAAATACTGTTGAAATGTGGCAGCTATTTCCGTCTGGAATGTCCCATTACCTTGTGGCCACAATTTCCATCTTACTATGGTTTTGATGTTGGTTCTTGTTGTTTAATGTCCAGATTAGAAGTGTGTGGCTATTTATCGATAGCGGATATTGGTTCACCTGCTTCATTGAGCCGTCACGTAATATTACCAGTGCTAAATAAACAAGATGAATTAGTTCTAGTTGACGGCAAATATAAATATGCTTCTCATCGTAATGATCTTGAACTATTGGAAAATGATATGCGCAACTTTTACATAAGAGACGAGGATTGCAGTGATGATGAGAACGCATTTAAATTGGGTGCACCATTACCAAAACCACCAACTGAAAAGGAATCTTTGATTGTGTTGTTGTATAAGGCATGCAAAGCGGATAATGTAGCTGCACTTGTCTTACTTAATGATAATTGGTATGCCTACATATTCGTCTGCCCTGATAGTGACATAGAACAAAGTTTACTTCTGAATGTATTACCACCAGGAAATAATGTTATACCATGGCTTGGTGATCTACGTTCGCTTTGTATTCGCAATGATCCCGATGAAGTAAGCTCTTCCTCAGAACCTAATAATCCTTGGAAAAATTATAGGGTTTGGTTAACGCAATCATCACTTCATTCGAATATTGAGAAATTATTGACACATGCAAAGAATATGCCTGAAGAAACACAAAGTTTCTTCACCGAACTAAATCTCATACGTTTTTCTGCAATAGCTTTAGGGTTTATTGATCTATTTGAAGCATTGGCTAAATTGTTTGAAAAGGAATGTGAACATGTATTAGTCAAATCGAATCCTATATGTGTACTACAACTAACACATGCAGCTGCTCAACTACGTAGACCCGAAAATCTTGATCACACAAAACCCATTTTTCCAGCGGCAACTCTTACAGAAGTCAATGCCAACAATTCAAATGCATCAATGAATAATATTGCATCTAATGAAAATCCTGAGGCAGTGGTAAGTCCTGAAACAGTGGTAAACCCTGAAGCAATGGTTAATCCTGAAAGAGTCGTTAATCCTGAAAAAGTGAAAAATCCTGAAACAGTGGTTAATCCTGAAGCTGTCGTTAATCCTGAAACAGTGGAAAATATTGAATCTATGCTTGTTACTCACGCATGGATGAATTTTAATTAAAAGTGAAAAATTTCACAAGTGTTTGTACTTTCTATTATATATATTAATATTTAAAAATTATTATTATTATTTAATAATTAATTAATAAAACGTTTTCAGCAATTTAAAAGTGGTCTTGTTTTGTCCGATATTATCTGTCATATCATGTATTTGCTATAGGTGCTATAGGTTTCAGCATTAAAAGTGTTTGCAAATACGCATTCTAGATAAATTTTGCACCTTATCAGTGAATATCCACTGTTTTTTCATATTTTTTGTTGCTGTTACCTAGCATTTTACTCATTTTTGGTAATCGTTTGTATATTCGTCTTTAATACTTTTCTTTTGTTGCTATTTCCCATTTTTAACTGCTGTTTGGTAACACTTTTATTCATTTCTAATGAAATTGCGTTCGTGTTTATCTTTGCATCTTGTTTTGTTAGTTTTTAGTGCTGTTAACTAGTACTTTTAGCTGCAGTTTTTCAATCGCTTCTGTAAAATTTTTGATATTTTCATTATAAATTCTTGTTTTAATCATTTTTAATGCTAGTAGAGACTACTTCAGTTTAGTTTTTAAGGTATCTACGCGATATCCTGCGCGATTACGAAACTTATAATTAAATTGATTTTGTGTTCGTTTTTGCTATTTAATTAAAATATTAATTTTGCTCCTAGTTTTGGACGATCTTAATAACATTTTTGTTCAGTTTTGAATTTTTTCCGGTAGATGTAAAACATCAAAAGATACTGAGGCTTTTACGTACCGAAACCACTTCTTAGAAATGAATAATGAAGATTGCAGTTGACTGCCATTGATCGTGAAGGTCATGTTGCTAAAAATCTCATTTCAGAACTCAGGAGAGAGTTAGAGAGTGAATAGAATTAATACCTGAAAAACTGAGTTCATCTAAATCGAAAAGCATGGCCAATAAGTAAGAAAGAAAATAAGGTGAATAAGAAGCGGGCCGCTTAATGGAACTCATCGAAGTATAATGAAAGATATGGAAAATGCTTATAACTCATATTGGTTACTAAGTGATATGGTAGGGTGCTGGGTTGAATAATATAAGGCAGTAGGTCATGTAGCTGGGTAAGGTGTTTCCAAGTGCGAGTAGGTAATCGTCAATGCGAGTAATACAGGCTTTAGCGCTGAGATTGGTGTTTAAAAAGTGTTTGTCGTTAGGATTACGCTTATAGTTAGTTCAATCGCAAAGAACTTCAAGCTCGAATAAACGGATTTTTTCTGTACTCGTACTAAATACTGTTTAAGTTACACTTATAATGTAAGTAAAATCAATAAATCATTATAAATTAAAATTGAGATTTTAAAGATAATCTTAATTATCCAGTATGTCGTTAAGTGTTGTTAAGATAAACATTATTTGAATGAATTTGAATTTTTTTCAAATAAAAATTTATTCAAACTTTCATCTATGCAATAAAAAAATTTATTTGAGTAAATTAAACTAAAATAATTTAATTTTAAAATTTATACCAGCTATTTATCTAAAAAAATATAATTTAGACTTAAGTATTTTGTTATTTTGTCGTATATTTAATTTTGTCTGCACAATTTATTTTAAATTCATCCAATCATGCTGTCAGAATAAACAAGATTCGTGTATTTGAAAAAGGACATGCTATTACACATCTGTTTCATTAATACAATTTTCAATGGCAGACCAGATAAAATTTTATTATTTAAAAGGTTTTGGGATATTTGAACTAAACAGATTCACAGATTGTAGACACATATGCATTTTATTCGGATTTGATTTGATTTTATTTTCTAACGCATTTAATAATACAGACTGAAGTGATAATGTAACATAACCTTAAATTAGAAAACTGATTGTCATCTGTTGTATTTCTACAAAACTGTCTTGTGACTATTTCAAGAGATTAAAACTCAAGATGAACTTAGTAGTACTTTTCTGTCTACTGCACAAAATTTGTTTTTAGTAGATGCCTTGTAAGAGTACCGAATATTCATGCGTTGCCTAAGAGTTTAACGAAAGTTTCAGAAGCCTGAAATTACTACATTTTAGTTAGATATAAATATTTTGCTCATTTTTCAAATAAAATTTAATGTATACAATATTTTGCTAAACTAATAAGCAGTTTCAAGACTTCAGACTAACATAGCATAACACAAACTTCAATCTAAAAGTAACAACTTCAGTTAATCGTATTAAGTTTCAGAGAGCAATTAAAATGCATTAAATTGGGCGTAATCATGTTTTCTAGTCTAATGTATTTAAATATATAATTAAGTAGAAAATCCTTTAAGTCAGTTTGATGAAATGTGATGTAATTTTCACAACAAATTTTTGTACAAAAATTCACACTTCATTTATGCTTTATACCAAGTGCAAACTTATTTGCAATATATTTTAATACATTTATATATACATATATACATATATATATATATATATATATATGTATATGTCAATATTTGCATATAAAACATACATTCATGGCGATGAAAAGTTGAGAGAACAAGCAAAAAAAACTGTGCATAGACTGTAAACGGGAATGTATTTTCAGCAGCCGGAAATGCACTTACCTGGGAATTCAAAATGAATGGTACTTTTATTTTTATTTTTATTTATTTTTTTGTTTCCTAAAATAAAAGTTCTAAAATATTTATAAGTGCACACCATTTATTATTTATTAATGCTCGTAAAAGCAACATTGTACCGAGGCTGAGTTTGTTTGTTGTATGTTGGTTTGTACAGAAGTGTGTAGGGTAAGCTTTTTTATGTGAACACGATATTCCTTCCTATAGTTTGTTTGACACTTCGAGCTCACAATTCAATTTTTTAAACTTAATAAATATTATACACTTTCAGCTCGAGTATTAATACTCGAGAGTGGTATGTTCCCCTCCCAGTGGATTTCAATGTCGAAGTGCAATAGCGATATTAGATTTGAAGGTAGATGCATAAGTACAGACGATATCCGTATTTGTATCGGATAGAGAGACGTGGGTTGAAAAAAAATATTGTAATTGCTTTGATATAAACAAAATTTTTCTGTTGATTTTTCCTGCTAAATGCAAACAATAATTTTTTGGCTTCAAGCCATCGGGGCAGACGAGCGTATATAAAGTATATCAATATTGAAAATATTTAGGAATAAAATTGAAATTTGACGTATCGGTGATATGAAGTAATTGAATTTCGAAAAAAAATTTGCAAAGATATTTGTAAATAGAAAAAATATGTGTCATATGAATTATAATTAATATAAAAATAATTATAAGAAAAAATAATTATAAAATTACAAGAATTATTTAAAATAATTAGTACACAAAACTTAATACTGTTAGAATTTTTATTACCAAATTTATAAGAATCATGAATGATATGTAATTTTTGTTAAAAACTCATTATAAATTATACAACGAGTAACATTTTAGTATCGATTCTATTTAAAACGATATAAATTTGCCTTTCCTTGTTCTATTTTTATCTAAGCTACAATACAGTCTATAATCTGTAGGATTTCAATAAGCATTGATACTACGAAGGGTCGCAAACATAGTAATTAGATTAGCTTAAGCCATATTGCCCTTAAGGTAACTTTATAATATCAGAAACTATGACGTAATGCTGATATAAACGAATATCCATAAACTTAAATACGATCTCCTATCAATACCTATGATAGTTTAAACGAAGATCCATAAACTTAAATATGATGTCCTATAAGTTTCTATGCTGGTATAAACGAAGATCCAAGAACTTAAATACGATGACCTATTAGTACCTCACTATAGATGTAAAAACTAATTGGTAACAGACGCAAATCTGTGCAAACGATAAATACCATATATGAATTCTGATAAATAATTGTTTAGAGATGTCTTTTTGGTGATTGAACACAATCGGTTATCTTGATTTGTGTCAATGATACGATTAGAAAATGGTGTTTGGTACTATATGTTGTTGTAAAATATGCTCAGTGATCTTGATCTCTTGCAACGATACAAGACAAAAACTGTAATCTAGTTTGTAGGTGTTTTCTCTGTGGCCATATAAAATCGGTCATATTGATTTCTTCCAATAATGCGCTTAGACATAATCAATAGCAGTGTTGTGTATATGATTTATTTGTAACCAAATACATTTGTCTTCATTTGTATCAACGATACGACTAGAAAACAGTACTCCATAAGCATTGCTCTACTGTTGGATGTCTAATTGATGTCTAAAGACAGTAAACTGAACCTGGTTCAATACCCAATAGAAAAACGATACTCTATATCAGGGCTATTCGGAACAGATGCAATCGCGGACCAATAAAAAAATCACTTTAAGATTGGAAAATAGCAGAAACAAACACATACGTTTATAGTTATTTTGGAGATTTAGTGTTATGTAGTGTTATTAACTTATAACTTTAAATTCATGTATTTGGTATACCGTAAAAATAAAACAATATAGTTTTGCCAGTACATTAAAAGAAAATTTGTGAAATTATGGTAGATGTAGCGGGCCGCAAAAATATTAGCAACGGATCGCATGTGACCCGTGGTCCGTGCTTTGGACAGTACAGCCCTATATGATTACAAGTCGCAAGAGGGAATATATCAAACATGGTCTCTAGGAGATCATAGTATGAAAACTTTGGAAAGGGACTTTATTGAAACACAAATGTGCACACCATTCAAATATTACAAACGCTGTTTAGAGCATTAAATTAAAGAAAAAAATTACCTCATTACAGCACAATTTTATTTACATATATAAAAAAATGTAAAAATGTGATCTACCGTTCACCTATGACAGTACCCCGACTTGCGAGGGAGCACTATATAATAAATGTATTATAAATAAAGTTCAGCATAAAGCACTTTCACTCTGAAACATAATAGTAACATAATGAAACATAATGCTATAAGTTTATACCTCACTATATGTAAAAAAATGTAATAGAATATGAAATTCTGGCTTAAGAAAATATATAAGTACTGTTTTCAGATTGCAAATATAATATGGCAGAAAGCTACAGCAATACTTGGCGTAAGTTCTTCACTTATAACAAATAAAAATATGTAATAAAATATGAAATTATCAATTAAAACAATCTAAGAATAAAAAGCACTGCTTTCACATTACTACTATAATAGCTCAAAGCAATATAATTTCCATTACTGGTGCATACCTATAACTTGATAAATACTATACCATATAAATTTAAGTATTAGTTAAAATTGAAGTAAACCCTTTAGAAATCTTTTTTCATTTTAAATTTATTATATTGGAGTGTATACTCTGATAGTTTTGAATATAAATCAATTTCCTTAAGGCTCTTATATTAGTAATGCATATTTGAAACTATCAAAGAATTCCATTCATATAAAGTTTTATTTCACATTTATTTGAAAGCATAAAACTCTATTTGTTTATAGCTCAAAGTAGCAATAAATTTATAAAAATAATAATTTTATCTTTGCCCGACAATATCGTTATAGATTAAAAGAAATATTTTATTACTATAAAGGATACGTTAAGCTTTATATCAGTATTGAGTATGAAATATAGAATAAAAACTTAACTGAAATAAATTTAAGAATATTTATTTATATTGCAATTGATTCGTAACTCACTTTAAGCAAAGTTGGAAAGTAGGACAAGTACGGAAGCGTCAGTAACTCCAGCTGGCACTATGAAGCCATATTATAACATTTACTGAACGTGAGATTTAATGTGTTCGTCAGGATGAAAATGAAATGCACAGATGTTTTATTGTGCAATAAAACTGCAATCGATTTCAGCTCCAACTTAAATCACAAAATATTTAATATATATAAATGCAAGTCACAAACTTTAGTTTGACGAGTGTAAGTGACTAGTAAAAGTATTCTTATATCTTTGTTTTAGTAAGAAATTTAAAAAAATATTTACTGTAATATCAGAAAATATTTCAAATATAAAAGTTTATTCAAGGTTTCATAAAATTTTATTTCATTCAAATTATTTTAAATAATCACTTTAACAGCTTAAATAACCTCACAGTTCACGCATAAGTTTCAAGTTGAAAGGCAATTACAATGTTAACTCAGGCTTGCTACCGGAAGGATAAAATATTACGACGCTGTGCACTAAATAATCTGTACTTCATCGTACAAAATCGACGCTAAACAGCATTAGAAGTTCACACAAAATCTTTCACTGTACTAAAAATGCTTCACTCAAGCACTTTATTTTCCTTTCCGCTTCTCTATTGCATTAGCGATACTCTCAACTTTTAACTGTAATGCTGTAAAGCGCGAAATTGTATCTTAACAACTTCAGCTAACACAAGTTTTTCCATTTTCCACTAATTGGGTTTGTGTGAGTGCGCGAGAAATGGCATTTTTGCTGAAGCAGAATTATGAATTCTTTGCGGTTTGCTGCATTATTATGTTAGCAAAATCCGTAGTGTGATGCCAACTGCGTGACTGCAACTGCAACTGCAACTGCAACTGCAATTGTGTTTGCACTTGCATTATTTTATTTTATCATTTACCCTCTCACCGCGTTAACCCAATGCACATATTTGTTATGCCAATTCACACAATTTTGTTGGAACATTGCTCCTATCTAAATTCAAGCAGCGAAAGATTTTTAATTAACTTAATGAAGAGCACAAACGAGGACTTCCGTCTGAGTTTACCAGAATGCGTTAAGTGGAAAATTGGTTGCCTTAGTTAGAAATTTGCTTAAAGGCAATTATATGAAAATTAATTTAATAATGCATAAAAATTTTACCATGACAGCTAATGACAATACGAACTCGTAAACTCGTAACTGGCTTTACAGAAATTACACAAAAATCAAAATTACGTTTAGAAAATTCAGATTTTATTTTAAACTTTTAACTTAAGTTTATAGAAATTCATTAAGGAATATAGAAATTTTTAAATTTCTAGATTGTTAAATCTTAAGACGTTGTAAGGTTTTGACTTGACTTTTCATTAATTCTTAAAACCAATGTAAATTATAAAGAGTAAATTAATCTGGTTAAATCTAAAAATATTATTTGGATGAACTATTCAGATTTCCTACGATAAATCACTCTTTCGTCTCCCCCTCATCTCTCTCTCTCTCTGTCTCATTCTCTCTTACTTATCTCGAGCCTCTATCTTGTTCTCCCTGTCTGCTGGTTTTCTTCCGGCTCCCAGTCGTCTTTTTTTCGCATCTTACATCCACGGTTGCCACTTGAAAATTTTTTTCTGTACCAAAATTGGTTTAAAAAGGTACCATTTCTGTAAAAAAAGGTCCAAAATTTTTTTGGACCTTTTTTTTTCTCATTCTATGTTTTTCATAGTGTTATAAATGAACAAAATATAAAATAGTGCAAAGTTGCATTTATAAAAAAAATTAATTGAAAATATCCACAATAAAGTTGGGTCGTCAAAAATGTACCATTTTTTGAAAGTGAGTACCAAACGAAAAAAAAAAAAAAAGTACCAATTTTGGTACTAAAGTACCATAAGTGGCAACCGTGCTTACATCTATATCTTATCTTTCTCTTATGTCTATTAATCTCTTTCTAAGCTCTGTCTTATCTTCTTTGTTTATTTTTTATCTCTGTCAAACCATTCTCACGCCTCGCCTCTTTTTCTTGCTTCTCTTTAACCTATATCACGCTATTGTTTACCATCTCTCTCTCTCTCTCTTGTCTCTGACTTTTCTCTCTTATCTCTCTCTCTCGTCCCTGTTCCTTTCACCTTTCACATGGCGTTCTCTCCTCTATCTTTTCTGTCTTCCCTATTCAGCGAATTCAGTGTCGAGTGATTTCTAGTTGTTTAAAAAATAAAAAAGGATTGAGTAAAACAGTCTTTGGCAATAATGAAAACATATATATGTTACTATAAGTTGCCAACCTAAAAAATTCTAAAAGAAAAGAATTTTATTTTACATTTTATTTATTCGAATCTGTATTTTTACTACATCGACTATTTCTTCAATTATAATGAATTTTGTAGAATACACAAGAGAACCATTTAATTAAACTCAAAATTTTTACTTGTGCATTTCATTTTTAAATATTTTTTATTTATTTTCTATTAATAAATAAATAATTAATAACAGATTTATGCTGATAAATTTAATCAACCGTATTTCTGAACATTCTACATAATTTTCTGATTGCTGGAATATTGCAACTAATTTACAATAAGACACTGTAAATAGGATTACTCTGATCTCTTGAAGGAAAACACACAATTTCAATTAAAATTTTGGCAAGTATTTTGAAAGAGAAAGGAAAATCAATTCAATATTAATAAACTTCATATTACAAAAAGTAATTAACATAGCAAATCCTTATGTAAGTGATTTGCTATCAGTTTTCAAGCACTATTTCAATACGAATTATTGCTAGTGATAATGTCATTGTCTCAAATTATGTTTGATTCACTAAAGCTAATAAATAATAAGATATGAAGAATAATAAATTGCATATAATGTAACAAAGCTGCAGGATATACAGTTCATTGTCTGGGAAAGGAGCCGAAATTGATTATATTTATTAAATCAAGCAGAAAATATTACTTAGGTTTTGTTTTCTTATTAAAATTTGTTTACGTTAAAATATTAATTGCTACAATTGCTACTTTAGGTTATTCTAGTAATTATAAATTAATTATAATGAAATGGTTAAAGCAACAAAAGACAAAAATTTGTTATGATACAGTTTTAAATTATTTATCTTGTAACCGAATTTAACTGAGAACTGCCTTAACAGCAATAGCACGGATTATGACAAATGCTTCTGTAAGACATAAATTTTGTGTTTAAATACGTTAGCAAAAAATGATTACAGCCAACGACTACGGCAATAGTAACAACAACACACTAACACACATGTTTTTATTATTGCTGTTCTTTTATTGAAGCATTGCCATATACAAACATATACACAGAATCTCATTAAGCATGCAAATCACTTTGCTGTACGACAATAAAATGTAATGCAATGCTAGTATAACAGAATTACACAAGTACAAAAACAATAACAATTGCTCCACCCACAAACAACACAGCACATTGTCATTTCCAACTCTGTTAATGCTGCACTGTTAATGCATAAACTTTAAATTGTGCTGGTGTAACGTTACTCATACTGTTAACGTTTGGTAAATAATTTTCTATTAAATTTTTGCTACATGTGCGAAACAATGTGTGTGTGTGTGATTACAAATGACTGAGTTGTGTAATTTTTGTGTAGGTTTCATAAGTACGTTCGTATGAACATGACAATGATAAATCACACTAGCATTCATAAACACACATACATCTTTCCGTTCCTTAAATTTTCAACATTAAATAGAAAAAAACAACAAACAGTAGCAATAACATCAGCAGCAGCTGCAGTAAACTGTAACTGCAAAGCGAACAGCAGTCGAAATAAAGGAGCAGTTTTGAGGTTATTGTTTATGGTACTGCATTCATTACATCCCCGATATTTGTTGTTGGTGTTGTTATCAGTATCTTCCCATTGTCTATCACTGTCATATACAAGACGATAAATTTTCAATTGCACAAACGTGTGCTGTTGAGTTGAAGTGATGAGCTCCTTTTTAAGTCCTGGAAAAATTGCGTTGATGAAAGTTAAAAATTTATTTTCAGTACTTATGCAGCAGCTTAGCTCTTAATAACTGCAAACTCAGTGCGAAACTTTCTTGTCGCCTTAGAAAATGATTGATGTGCATTATCGACAAGCTATTCTACTACTAAAACACTGACTTTTCTTTTTACGATTTCTTAAAAAATACGAGTAATACATAAATAATTTATAAGACTTTTCTCTGTACTAAATTTCACTTATGGTAGTTTTTACCAAAATTTATGATTCTGTTTATAGTTCAAATGAAAATTTGAATTGAATATTTGCATATTTTTCACTTAAATGATTTTTAATAATTTTTCTTTACTACTTTCGTTGCAGTTAAATTTTCAATTTATGGCACTTCACTTAAAGGTATTTATATAATTTTTATTTATATTTTTATTTTTGTATCGAAAAATATGTTTTGATTTTATGACGAAACATAAAATTTTATACATGTTGCAAAAAATCTTTGTATACAGTGAAGAATATAAGTATTTTATATATTATTGTCATAAAAATGAATTTATACACGTTCTTCATATTTTGTCACAAATAGTTACGTTATGAGAGTGTCTTTTATTGGTTTGTTGTGCAAAATATTGAAGCTTGAATTGAGTCACCAAAGCGCAATGACATTGATTTCCTTTCACGTAAACACAAAACGACGGATGTTGTGGGATAGGACACAACGAATGCAATTGAGCGCAAATAGACCGGAAATTACTTTGCGGTATTCGTACGGAGTTAAATGGAGCCAAAGGGTATAGAAACCCATCAACGCAAGTAACGAAATCTTAAGAATTATGGACCTTTAGTTTATGTATGAGTATCGTACAAATGGAATTTTTAATATCAAAGTATATTTATACGTATAAGAAATAAATATTGTGTTTAATGATTGCCCGAAAGCAAATTTGGGATAATAAATGTTTTACAAAATATTCCAAAAACTTATTGAACCATCAGTATGTATACAAAAAGCCACATATAGGAACAAATAGGAACTTAACATTATATGCAGTCAATGTAGTCAATATTTCTAAACGATTTCAGTCACAAAAATAATTTATATATAAATTTAAAGAACGTTTAGAAACTAAAAGAAAGCATATTTAACTAGACTTTAGGAGAAAATAATGAAAGGGAAAAGTGATGGGTGTTTTTAATTTCGTATGACGTTTTGATAATATCCATATTATTAGCCTTTGGATAAAGGCTTAGTCAATTGTAATGCAACATAAAAGTATATAGTAATTATACCAAATTTAAAGTACATAGTTTAAAATATATTTACTCAAAATGTTGTTTGTTTAGGTAGCTCTTTTTTAGATATATTGAATGCGACTTCATAAGGCGAGGCTTATTCGCAGTCATATATGTTAAATTTTCACGCAATCTTTCACGTAGCTGTTTAACAGAAGTCACTATAGTAAATATGAAATAATTCACATCATTATTTGGATGAATCCAAAATTAAACTAATCTTACGCTTATAGTATTTACAGGATGTGACCAGTATTGTATGAACTCTTCTCAATAAGCATTTTAAGTCAGTTAAACTTTAACTGATTTTAAGTTAAAAGAATTTAAAAAGAAGTTAAAAATTTTTTAAACCTCTTTATTGAAAATAAAGCCATTTTGACTTTAAAATTTGTCGCGGTGTTTATTTCGAAAGGATAAAGATTATAGTATTTCAATTTTAATTTTATTTATTATTTTTAAATTCCCGTTTTTACTGTGGTAAATTGTTATAGAGCTCATGCTGTGAACATTAACATGATATTACAAGCAAAAAACATTGGTTTTGTTTTAGAAAAACTATGTAACTATGAAAATGTAAAAAAGAAGAATAAGAAAAATAACATCATTAGTGCATTCAGAGCAGCTAATAATGTAAAAAAGGCGCCAAATTCCAACAGAGCATCTTTTGAAGAAGTCTCGTCATATGTAATATTTAACATAAATGGCGCCAAGATCATGTTAAGTTTTAACAATATATTCTTATATAGAAATTCTCTTTAATTGATAAAAATTTTTAAGTAATTTTAAGACATATGTACATTTAGTTAAAATAAAACACTCATACGCACCGTAGTCCCAAATAGAAAGCATGAGCGGTAAGTTATAATAAAAACTCTGCTCAATATTATTTGTTGCCTGAAGTTAATAACAATTAATTAATTACTTAATAATGTGTTTAATTCTTAAAATCTACATATATATTTATAGCTATATAACATTAAAATTTGTTAAATCATTAAATGTTAAGAAGAGATTTGTTGCAGGAAAGGAAAGTCACTGCAACAAAAGATTAAATAATACTCAAAAATTATACTGGCATATTTGTATGTAAAATCTTTATTTTATATGCTTGCATTAAATTAACCAAACATATTTACATAGTCCTTAAATGAAGATACCTTTTCATATGTTATTATTTGTTACATTGCAAAAATGTAAAAAGAATATTTTAACAACCATCAATAAATTTTCAAAAAATGAAAAAACGTATATATTACATATATACAAACAAAAGGAATGTGCTCATATAGTACATGAGGGTGCGTATTATGTGAATGATGAAGGGAAAATCTTTTATCAACTGAATTTTATGACACAACAACATGACTTTCGCATTTCAAAGGACTTCGCAACATAAAATTAACATTTATTTCACATATCAACGAAAACATAAATTTCTTATGTTTGACTGACTTCAGTACAGTAGTCCCTATGCGCTTTTTATGTGAAAAATGTATTTCAGTCGAATCCCAGCCTCCTCCGCTTATTTGACTTAACAAACACAATTCTGATAAACGTTTTTGTTTGGTTTATTTTTCATACCTCAAATTCAACATAAATAATCAAATAAATTATATCATTTTCGAAAAAATAAATTTATACATTTTTTTTGTTTGTGAATTCATTACAAAATCATATACATTACCCTCACATTACTACACAAACATAATTGAAAAATGTGATTTGACAGAAACGCCCACATTAAAATTATCTACAAAAAAAAAACAAGAAAAAAAACAAATTCTTTATTTACTTTTAATAACTTTTTTAACTGTCGCTTTGCAAGTCGTATGTATTTTAGTATTTAACCTATGCATTACATATGTTCATTACATATTCGTACTCATATGTAATTTATTGTCGTACAGCTACACAAACGCGAAGTGAGTTCAGTGCTATACACTGACACCGTTCAAATCATCGCATTCATTATTCATTTTAAACGAGCTACAAATAAAATATGTACAAATTCATTTGCAGATACTCACATTCCTTCGATGTACTTATTGTACATATATATTAACTATGACGAAACTAAATATGTAAAAATGTAAATGAAAGTTAATGGCAATTTGGTTTCGGTTTTAGTTGCGGTCTTGTGGTATTTTTCTTTGATCAAAGGAAAGCAATGAGAGTATATACAGTAATTATAAGGCTATGTTTAAAATTATTTCATTTTATTTTATTTTGTTAAGTGTTTTCGGATATCAAAATAAATAGTTAAGTTTTATGGTATATTGAGTGTTATTCACAGGGATATGTTATGATCGGATAATTGCCTTTAAGTTTTGCTATGAAAATTGCTATGATTTTAAGTATATTTTCAATTTAATGTTGATATTAAGTTTAGCTTATACGAGTATGTAATGTATATTTTAAATTCAAGCAAATTTTCATTCAATTATATGTAAGCCAAATGATGTATTGACTTTAGTATTCACTTTAGTTGCAATAAGAAACATATTTAAAAATTTAAAATAAATACTTGTTATGTTACCACAAGATACATTAGGTATTGGCCATTGTCAGGCATTTAACAAGTATGACCAAGTTAAGAAATATTTTGTATATGTAATTTTCTGAGGTTTTAAATATTTATTTTACCAAATCACATTTACATATTATCTTGTTTTTATACTGCGAACATATAAATTCTGTTTTTGAATTTTTTAAAATATTTTTTTTTAATTTTTGCTCAAATTCAAAAGTTAAAGCTGTTCCAATATTAGTATATATGCAGCAATATTAAGATAGTTATGTCGTTTGTATACATAATTGCATTCAATATTCTTATTAAGAATTTTATATACAATGACAGTAAATCTATTTCAAAATATATCATTTACTTTACCCTAGAAAAGGATATATAGAAATATTCTCCACAAATAATAATGTTAGGGTGTGCAAAACCAACTTTTTGCAATGATTAACTTCTTTTATATAGCTGTAGTTTACGCATTACTTCCAATTAGTAGTACAGGAAGTGCACTGATTGTTTAAGAACAAACAATAAAAAATTATAATACTCTAAATATTTAAGATATGTTATTAAATTTTTTTCTTATATTTTTTTTCGTCTTATAATCTCATTTTCTTTATTATTTAGTATTTTGTAAATGGTTATATATTTTTGTTTATATTATTTATCACTTTTTTTGTCAGTTTTTAAGTTAGTTCTAATATGTTGCCACAAAAATAGTTTTTCCCATAACGTATTTTTAAAATAAAAATAAAATAAATAAATAAATTCTAATAACACAAATTGAATATGCATATATATGAATATTTTCTGTGTTAATAAACGGTATAAACGGTTTAAAGTTGGCAGGTGTCACTTCCTGACACTGTTATGCGAACAATTGAAACAATAGATCATTGGTGATGGATATCAAACTATATCCAAAAGAGTTATATCGTCAAACAAAAAATTTACTTGTTTCAAATATATTTATTGGATATAAAAACTTGCTCACTATTATATATTATTACGTATACACAATAATTGAAAACAGTGGTGGTAGAGGATGAACAACTATATGAACGAAAGGATGCAATAGTTGATGCTATTTGTGTTCCATCTTGTTCTTGAGTATCACTGCACTTCTGTTGATATTATATATATGTGTATCCTTATTTATACATTTCTCTCAAAGAGCATATGGTTTAAAAATATTATTGAAAATATTATTATTATTCTGTTCCATCTTGTTCTTCAGTAACACTTCATTTCTGTTGGTATTACATATATGTGTCCTTAATTATTAATTTCTCGCAAAGAGCTGATAGTTTGAAATTACTATTGATGAATCTTGTTCCTTAATAACATTTCACTTCTTATGATATTAAATGTGTCTTTATGTGCATAATGCTCTCAAACAGCAGATATTTGACAAAAGTATATCTTGACTTCTTACTTCACTTCCAATACTTTCTGTCTTTATTCTCTTGTCTTTGATGCCAATTATATTTCGGAGGCATAAAAATTTGGGCTTAATAAAATACACTTGTCATTTCTGAATTCACATTAGAAAAAATCGTTACTCAGACAAAGCCAAATTTGGATCATA